TGTGCCATGACACTCTCTGCCACATCTGTGACCGCCTGGGGTACTGTACGTCATGTTGGAGTGCTCTGAAGGAAGGTGGCCCCAAGCTCTTCCTTGCATGAGATCGCTCTATCCTAGAGCACACTTGAGTCTTGGTATCTGTAGGGGTTTGATTCTAGGACCGCACCTAGCACAACACCACAATCTACAGGTGCTTCAGTCCCTCGTATAAAACAGCATAATGTTTGCATGGACTTCAAGGAGTTCACGGAAACTGGAATGAAAAGGTCAGTTTGTTTTGGTGTAAAAAATGTTTGAAATGCATACATACACAGAGTCTTCAAAAATTCATGGAAACTATATATTATGAAAAAACTATGCATGGATTTCAAAAATCTTTTGTATGAAAATACATTTTTTAAAGATTTATTTTATTTGAAGGAGTTACAGAGAGAGAGAGAGAGAGGTCTTCCATCTGCTGGTTCACTCCCCAAATGGCCACAATGGCCGGAGCTGCGCCAATCCGAAACAGGGAGCCAGAAGCTTCTTCCAGGTCTCTCACATGGTTGCAGGGGCTCAAGGACTTGGGCCATCTTCTGTTGCTTTCCCAGGCCACAGCAGAGAGCTGGATCAGAAGTGGAGCACCCAGGACTCGAACCCGTGCCCATATGGGATGCCGGCACTGCAGGTATTGGCTTTGCCTGCTACAACAACAGCACCGGGTCCGTCAATTTTAAAATTTCATTTTCCACAAACCCTTTGAAGTAGCTTCATAACCTGCATACTTCATTTTACAGACTTTAAGCTGTCTCTAGATTACTTGTAACACCTGTAACCAGGTAAATGCTATCTAAGTAGTTACTGCGCTGTATTTTTAGGGAATCAAAAATGTGTGTGCATGAACAGTACAGTTGCAGTTTTTTCTGTTTTCCAACATAGGTAGCTGACAGTACTGGATCCTCTCTCTCCCTCCTGCTCCAGCTGATTGGACCAGAGTGGTCACCCCAAGGTCATCTCCAAGGCGTTCTAGTTTGTAGGGCTTGGCCAGGCACAGTAAGCCCCAGCCAATCATAGCCCACCAATCATAGCCCACCCGTCCCCTGCAAGTTGATCTGGGCAGTGTGCATGGAATGAGGCTGTGAGAAAGGGAGTGCCATGTGGGGTTCGGAGCCAGTTGGAGTCATGAGGAATGGAAGCAGGAACTCCAAGTTGAAGAAGAGGTACAAGGTTTGAAAGCAGGGAGAGACGGGGCAGACATTCAAAGGGGGCAGGCGCCGAGTGGTTAGGTCCAGGTGAAGGGCTGGCCTGTAGGGTCGCTCCAGCAGCTCCTGGGGCTGGCACACTGGGGCCGCCTTGGATTCTCCGACATCCCCGCTCTGGATACCACATTCCCAGGCTGTGGAATGCACCTGGATTCGGGGAGATCCTGGCTTGCTTGTTGCCTCGCCATAAGCCCTCCCTGTCTGTTACCCAAGTGGCTCTCTGGTGTAGGGCCTCAGAAGCCAACAGAGCAGAAATACCCACCGTCAGTGAGGTGCGGGCACATGCCGGCTCACACGGCTCTGTTTGGCCTCCGTGTGTGCCAGAGGGCTGGGCTGGGGTCCCCGAAGCAGCTCTGCCTCAAAGGCTCCACGGGGCTGGCTCCATTCCTTAAGGCTCTGTTTGCCCCAGTTTTAGAAACACATGTAAAGTAGGTATTTTGTAAATATGTTGAGGTTGTTTTAATAATTGCATATAAATAATGACTGTTAAAATGGAAAACAACTAATAATTAAAAGGGGAAAATAAACAACCCCAACAATGAGGCAGATCAAATTCCAATAATAAGTAACTAAATTTCCTGGAGATAAATGGAAAGCAATAAAATAAATGCATATTCTTATCCTCTCTCCTTTCAAAATTTTTAATTGAAAGACAGAGGAGACAGTAGAAGAGACACACACAGAGAGGCAGAGATCATTGGGATTTCAACCCCGCCAAATGCCCACAACAGTTGGGGCTGGGCCAGGCCAAACCCAAAAGCTCAGAAAACGGTCGACAGGGTGTCGGGGACCCAACCGCTTGAGCCGTTATCTGCTGCCTCCCAGGCTGCACGTTAGCAGGAATGCTGAACTGGAAGCGGAGGAGCTGGGAAAGGAATCCAGGCGCTCTGGCCCGGGCCAAATGCCTGCCTCCTGCCCTCTTTTGGCAGCTTTTTTTTGTTTTTGTTTTTCATTTCACAGCATACCTTGCAGTCTTTTCCATATCTGTAGGTGGAAAGCGGTTTATGAGCTCCCTGTCTGGGTGTGCCTTCACTGAGCGCGTCAGTTACTGAGATCCTTGGGCCCCTCCCTTTATTTTCTGTTATACATGAAGTTAGAGTGAATAAAGGTATGGGTGTGTGTGTGTGTGTGTGCACATAGTAGTGCTATAAATGCCTGGAGGCAGGTTGCCGGGTCAGAGTGAAAGCATCTGTGAATTGGAAAGCCGTCGCCTGCTTGTCCTTTGTAGGGATGGGGACGTCAGCCAGCGTGCTTTGAACAGCAGGGGCGGAGGGCTGAGTGCCGCTTCACGTGTGCGCACCCTGAATCAGTGCCCCCCTGACACCTGATCAGTGCCCCCCTGCTCCCCCTGATCAGTGCCCCCCTGCTCCCCCTGATCAGTGCCCCCCTGACACCTGATCAGTGCCCCCCCACTCCCCCTGAGTCAGTGCCCCTGCTCACCCTGATCAGTGCCCCCCGCTCCCCGAGTCAGTCCCCTGCTCCCCCTGAATCAGTACCCCCCTGCTCCCCCTGAATCAGTGCCCCCCTGCTCCCCTGATCAGTGTCCCCCTGCTCCCCCTGATCAGTGCCCCCCCTGCTCCCCCTGATCAGTGCCCCTGCTCCCCCTGATCAGTGTCCCCCTGCTCCCCTGAGTCAGTCTCCTGCTCCCCCTGATCAGTGCTCCCCTGCTCCTCCTGATCAGTGCCCCCCATGCTCCCCCTGATCAGTGCCCCCCTGCTCTCCCTGAGTGCCCCCCTGCTCCCCCTGATCAGTGTACCCCTGCACACCCTGATCAGTGCCCTCCCTGCTCCCCTTGATCAGTGCCCCCCCGCTCCCCCTGATCAGTGCCCCCCTGCTCCCCCTGATCAGTGCCCCTGCTCCCCCTGATCAGTGCCCCTGCTCCCCCTGATCAGTGCCCCCCCGCTCCCCCTGATCAGTGCCCCCCCGCTCCCCCTGATCAGTGCCCCTGCTCCCCCTGATCAGTGCCCCCCCGCTCCCCCTGATCAGTGCCCCCCCGATCCCCTGATCAGTGCCCCCCCCCGCTCCCCTGATCAGTGCCCCCCTGCTCCCCCTGATCAGTGCCCCTGCTCCCCCTGATCAGTGCCCCCCCGCTCCCCCTGATCAGTGCCCCCCCGATCCCCCTGATCAGTGCCCCCCCCGCTCCCCTGATCAGTGCCCCCCCCGCTCCCCCTGATCAGTGCCCCCCTTCTCCCCCTGATCAGTGCCCCCCCTTCTCCCCCTGATCAGTGCCCCCCCTGCTCCCCCTGATCAGTGCCCTCCCTGCTCCCCCGATCAGTGCCCCCCTTCTCCCCCTGATCAGTGCCCCCCCTGCTCCCCCTGATCAGTGCCCTCCCTGCTCCCCTGATCAGTGCCCCTGCTCCCCCTGATCAGTGACCCCCGCTCCCCCGATCAGTGCCCCCCCGATCCCCCTGATCAGTGCCCCCCCTACTCCCCCTGTTCAGTGCCCCCCTGCTCCCCCGATCAGTGTCCCCCTGCTCACTCTGATCAGTGCCCCCTGTGCACCCTGAATCAGTGCCCCCCTGCTCCCCCTGGTCAGTACCCCCTGTGCACCCTGAATCAGTGCCCCCCTGCTCCCCCTGATCAGTACCCCCTGTGCACCCTGAATCAGTGCCCCCTGCTCAGTTCTAGTGAGAAAGGAAAGGGAATGTGAGGAGGGAACAAGCCTCTGCCTGCTACCTGAGGGCACGTGGAACAGTTCAGGGAAAGATGCAAATAAAAGGCAAGTCCCTTGGGAGCAAGTGTTGTGCTGTGGCAGACCAAGCCGCCATGTGGGACACTGTCATCCCGTATCAGAGTGCCAGTTCGAATCCCAGTACTCCACTTCCCAGCCAGCTTTCTGCTAATGCATCTTGGGAAGCAGTGGAGGATGGCTCAAGTGCTTGGGCCACTGACCCTTACGTGAGAGACCCGGCAGAAGCCCCTGCTCCTGGCTTTGGCCTGGCCCAGCGCTGGCTACGGGGGGAGGGGGTGGTGGTGGGATTTGTGGAGTGAACCGAAGGATAGAAGATTCTCTCTCTCTCCTCTCCTCTCTCTCTCTCTCTCTCTCTCTCATGCCTTTCAAATAAATAAAAATATCTTCAAAAAAGAAAAAATAGAGCTAAGTCTTCATTCGTACGAAAATGTTTGACATTCGTGTGTGATTCTGTCACAATCCACATTGGCACGCACATTCGGAGAACCCCACGTGTGATGGACATCCTCTGTCATCTGCACGCTGGACACACTGTCACCGGTCAGGCAAGGTGGGTTTCCCTGGTTTGTACGGGTGAGGGCACTGCATCTCAGGGAGGTTAAGGAAATGTGCGCAGTGTCTGGAACCCAAGGCTGGGGGCTGCAGTCATGGTGCCAGGCAGGCAAGCTGGGGGAGAGGGGGCTCTCCCCCTCCCCTCCCCCTCCCCTCTCCCTCCCCGCCCCTTCTCCCCTCCCCTCCCCATCCACATCCTCATCCCCATCCCCCTCTTCCCCTCTGCTCTTCCTCCCTTCCCCTCCCCTTCCCTCACCCCTCCCCTCCCCTTCCCCCTCCTCCCTCCCCTCCTCTTCTCCCTCCTCTCCCCCTCCCTCCCCTCCTCCTTCTCTTCTCCCCCTGCCCTCAACCCCTCCCCACCTCCTCTCCCTTTCCCCTCAACCCCTGCCTGCCCTCCTCCTCCTTTTCCTCTTCCCTCCCCCTCCTTCCCCTCCTTCTCTCCCTCTCCCCTCCCCCTCCTTTCCTTCCCCCTCCCCTCCCCCTCCCCCTCTCCTGCAGCTGCATGAACAGCGGCGTTCATTTCCCAACTCTTTTATTTTCTTGCTGGCCTCACTTCAGAGTCCACTTCGAGGGGCCCCAGGAAGCCCCAGCTGCCTCCCGCCTGGCCTCCTGCCCGGGCCCCAGCCCTGGCCCTCACAAGTGACTCTTGTGGGAGGGACAGGGCTCCTCCAGGTGCGTCTCTCCCAGAAGAGCGTCCAGCCACACCTCCATGTCCCGCACCAGCTGCTCCAGCTCGCGCAGCTCTTCCTCTAGCTTCTCCAAGAAAACGTGCAAGTTCTTCTTCACCCAGTTCCGCGTGCCCTTTCCTGGCTCTTCAGCAGGCTCCTTGTTCTGATAGTCGAACCCCTGAGAGGCAGACACCAGTCACAGCGCGGGCTTCTTCACGTAGGACCTCCTGCACACTGGTTTTGAAGTCCCCAGGGCCTTCGCCTGTGCCATGTGTTCTGCTTGGAGTGCAAATCCCCTCCTTCTCACCCAGTGAGCTCCTGCTCATCCTTTATCACCCAGCTTGCCTGTGACCCCTCCTCTGGGAAGCTTTCCCAGATTTCTTCACCTCAGTAGTTGCCCCCCTCCCTGGGGAACCTAGCCCCCCTGGCCGGGGAACTTTGCTGAATATGTTACCTGGGAGGCCACAGGATTTTGGGGGTAGTTATAGTCTCGGATCCTTTCTGACATCTCCCAAGTTCTTCCTGAAAGAGCCACAAACACCACCCCTTAGTAAAAAGAGCACAGTGAGAGGTGGGGGAGATAAGCGTGGTTGGTCACTCCCGCGGGATGACGGGAGAGGCAGGAGGAGGCGAGTGTGGAGGCCCTGAGGCCGGCAGCCGTCTCCAGAACACACATGCTGATTCTCAGACACCAGGAAGCTCACCTGATATCTCTGTGCCCAGGTACAGCAGCAAAACCAGCAGCATCAGCAGCATCTGCAGGCAGGAAGGGGCGGGAGCAGGAGGGTGAATGCCTGGGGGCAGAGGCCAGGCGTGGGGGGGGGGGTGCTGCAGGAGTTCTTAGAGCTTAACTTTTTTTTTCTAGTGATCTGAGTCACACATGCTTACTGCAACCTGCGCCCCACCGCTCCGCACCCAAACACTGCAGAAACAGAAAACAGCCACTTGCTGAATTTAGGCTATGTTTTCCTTCTTGGCCCCTCCCGAGAAGGAAGACCCACCTCTGCTGTCTTCTCTTGCCTCGTTTTAAAAATTTTGTTTTATTTGATCTTCGAAAGGAATTAACCTGGGGTGGAATTTGGACTAGCAGTTAAGATACCTGCACGTGTGCTTGGATTTGACTCCTGGCTTCAGTTCCCGACTCCAGCCTCCCGCTAATGCTGACCCTGGGAAGCAGCAAGGGTGGCTGAAGTATCTGTTCCTGCCACTCAGCTGGGAGACCAGGATTGAGTTGCCAGGTCCTGGTATGGGCCCCTGCCCAGCCTGGGCTGTTTGGACATTTGGGGAGTGAGCCAGCTGATGGGATATATCTGACTGTCTCTCAAAACATAAATTCAAAAATTCAAAGCAGGAGCCAGGGCAGTCATGTGGCACAGTGGTAAAGTCCCTACCCAGGATGCCCGTGTCCTACGTTGGACTGTGTGGTCCAGTGCTGCCTCAACTGCTTCCCATTCAGCTTCCTGCTGATGGACACCCTGAGAGCAGATGATGGCCCCAGTCCTTGGACCCCTGCCACCCATGTAGGAGACCAGGATGGAGTTCCTGGCTTCAGCCTGGCCCAGCTGTGGCTGTTGTAAGACATTTGGGCACCAGTGGATGGTAGAGCCACTCTCTGTGTCTCTCTACCTTTCAAGTAAAATGAAAAGAAAAAAAAAACATTTAAAAATTAAAGAAATGCATCAGCTTTATTGTGGTATAACTTATATATAATAAAATGCACACATCTAAGATGTATGATTTGATGATGTTTGGTTAAATGTCTATAGCTATGGATTATCATCCCAATCAGGATACCTAACATTCCCATGGTCTTAGAAAGGGCCCTCATGCCCCTTTGCAGTCAATTCTATCCTTTTTCTCAGCTGCCAGAGGGAAGTGAGGATCCTGTTTCTGTCACTAAGAGAAAGGTAGACCAGACACAGAGATCTCCCACCTGCTGCTTCACTTCCCAGCTCCCCACGAGGGCCGGGAGCCCAATCTGGGTCTGCCCCATCAATGGCAGGGACCTAACATCTGAACCATCACTCGCTGCCTCCCAGGGTACGCTCCAGCAGGAAGCTGGAATTAGGAGTGGAACTGGGACCTGAACCCAGGCACTCTGATATGAGATGCAGGCATCCCGAGTGGTATGCTACCAGCTGTGCCAAATACCGTCTTCTTCTTATTAAGTTGTAATAGTTCTTTATATATTCTGGATATAATTTCTTTGACAGATATTTGTATTGTGAATATTTCCTCCAAGTCTGTGGCTTGTCTTTTCATTTTCTCACCAGTGTCTCTTCAAAATGAAAATATTTCAGTTTTAATGAAGGCCGCTTCATTGAATTTTTTCCTTTTGTGGTTGAGCTTTTTGTACGCAGTCTAGAAAACTTTGCCAGCTTCAAAGTTGTAGATTTTCTTCTGTTTTCCCCTAGACAGTTTATTGTTTTACCTTTTACATTTAGGTGTGTGTTCTATTTTGAATTAATTTTTGCATATGATGTGACTCAGTGTGACCAATTGAGGTTTTGTATATGAATGTCTAGTTGCTTTAGAGTTATTTCTTTAAGGAGACAAAATTTTCCTCACTGAATTACATTGGTGTTTTTATTAGAAAAAACTATCTACCATATATTATGTGGGTTTATTTCTGGATTCTGTTCTGTTTCAATGACCTATAAATCTATCTTTACACCAGAACTAAATCTATATACTCTTGCTAAGGCTACCATAAAAAACACAAGCCAGTGCCTTAGAAAGCAGAGATTGACTTCCTGTGGTTAGGGAGGGCACTGGTAGCACCGGTTTCTGGTGAGGCCTCGCTCGGTTTGCCCACTGTGCCCTCACTCAGCGTCTTCTCTACTTGGGCATCCCGGCTGTCTCTTGCTCATCTTAAAAGGACACCAGTCCTAGGAAAAGAGGGCCCAACTGTATGGCTTCTCTTAATCTTCTTTTACTACTGCCTTAAGTATAGTCATGTTGGGGGGTTAGGGCTTCAACACAGGAATTTTGGAGGGACACAGTTCTGTCCATAGTGAATGCATTGTCATGATTTATTTATTTATTTGAAAGGCAGAATTAGAGAAAGAGAGAGGGAGAGGGAGAGGTCTTCCTTCCCCTGGTTCATTCCGAAATGGCCATAATGACTGGAACTGAGCCAACCTGAAGCCAGGAGCCAGGAGCTTCTTCCAGGTCTCCCATGTGGGTACAGGGACCCAAGGACTTGGGCATCTTCTGCTGCTTTCCCAGGTATGTTAGCAGATAGCTGGATCAGAAGTGGAACAGCCAGGACTCAAACTAGTGCTCATATTGAATGCTGAAGTTGCAGGTGGAGGCTTAACCTGCTATGCCACAATGCTTGCCCCAAGAGTGCTCTCTTTTGCATTGATTTTTGAATATTGAAGCAATCTTGAGTTCCTTCAGTATGCTTAGATCATGAGACATTAGCTTCTTCCCCAGTCTTGGTGTTTTTATATATTGCTGGATTTGTTTCTGTGATATTTTTGAATTTGCATTCATGAGAGTGGTTTATATATATTTTTAACATATGTTTGCCAAGTGTATGTTTTCTTCCCATAATGAGTTGTTAAGAATTCCCTCCTCATCTGTTTTGTGGACAAATTTGTATAAGTTTGGTATTATTTTTGTCTCAAATGATTGATGGAATTTATCGATGAAAATGGGCTCATAGATATTGAGACTTTCTATTTCTTCTCAATTTTGAAGTTGCGTTGTCTCAGAAGTTTGATCATTTTGCCTGAGTTAACAAATGTACTGGTGTCAAGTTGTTCCTAACATTAGCTTAATATCCTCTCAGTGTCTGTAGAGCTGTTACGATCTCCCTCTTTCACTCCTGATATTAGTAATTTGTGTGCTCTTTCTCCCTCTTGCTTGCTCTCAGTCTATTTGGAAGTTTACCCATTTTATCGTTTCAAAGAAAGGGCTTATGAATTTACTGTATTATTTTTGTTTCATATTTTATCAATTTTTGATTTTATGTTTATTATTTATTTCCCTCTAGCACTGATCTTAATTCTTCTTTTTCTTGCTTTTAAAGTTTTATTTCCAGAGATACCTATGTATGCACGTGTATGAGTGTACCTGTGTGTGGGCATGTACATACTGGCGCTCGGTCTCCCTCAGACTCTCAAGGGGGACTGATGTGTTTCTTGTACACTAGAGCTTGTGAAGCAAAATTTAGATCTGCTACTATAACAAAGATAAATATTTTTAAATATTTGCATCTATTATCTAAGATATAATATATTATAAATATTTATATTTACAAATAAATATTTATATTTTAAAGCTATTAAAAAGTTTTATATCTTGTCTATCTTTCAAATAGTACTTTATAGATACTAGCAACTATGTTATTAGTAGCTTCAAAAAATAAAACTAAGCCTTAGGACAACATGGTTGAGTCTCATATCGGCAGGGATGAGTGAGGAAACCAGATGTAAAGGTAAACATAAAATTTAGGGTGACAAAACTCACCTCTGACGACTAAATCAGAATTGTGGTTGTGAGGGTGGGGTTGGACTGGGAGGAGCCCCTGAAGGAGGTTTCTAGGTGCAGGAAGTGGGTGGTGATGTAAGTGAGTACAAAAGTCACTGTGCCATGCGTGTAAGACGTGTGCATATCTTTTGCCTTAACAATATCCCTTAGGAATCTTGAAGGAACATAGAATTGTCTTCTTTTTTAAAATGGCTGGGAAGTATTCTATGGCTCAGATCCTCTAATGTTTGTTTCTTTAAAACCTTATTGTTTATTTGAGAAAGAGATAACGAGAGAGGGAGAGGGAGAGGTACAGAGAGATCTCCCACCTGCTGGTTCACTCCTCGGAGAGCCAGCTGGGAGAGCTGGAATGCAAGGCGAGCCTCCCACACAACAGGGGCAGGGGCAGGGGCAGGGGCAGGTGCGGGGCAGGGGCAGGGGCAGGGGCGGGGCAGGGGCAGGGGCGGGGGCAGGGGCGGGGCAGGGGCCGGGGCGGGGGCAGGGGCGGGGCAGGGGCAGGGGCTGGGGCGGGGCAGGGGCCGGGGCGGGGGCAGGGGCAGGGGCAGGGGCCGGGGCGGGGCAGGGGCAGGGGCCGGGGCCCACCACTTGAGCAGAGGCCAATGCTTCCTGGACTGTGCATGTGCAGTAAACTGGCATCGGGAGTGGGGCAGGGCTTTGCTTTGACTCCAGGTGGATGGGATGCAGGTAGCTGAGCCGTGTCTTAGCTGCCATGCGCAGTGCACTCAGGGCTGCTCTTCTGTTTGTGAAACCGCGCAGGTCCCTGTGTGCCCCAGGCGATTCTCCTCTGCAGGCAGTGGGGAGGCACAGAGGAGCGTGCACCGGATGGCGACTTTCAGCCCTTCCCTGGTGCTGTCTTGGGGCTCGAGCTGCTTCCCTTCTTCTCTCTGAGCCGCTGTTTATTGTAGAGGGGATTTTGAACTCCAGGGCCTTCCATCAGGAGAGCTGGGCCACCGTGGGGCAGGTGTGTGTGTGTGTGTGTGTGGTTGCGTTTCCGGCGGGGGCACCTCCCATTATGGGAGGGCGGTGTCCCCTTCAGGAGGGGACAAGGGCACGGGGCCGTCCCCTAACCACAGAACTCTTTTCGTGTATTTCCTAAAAGTAACATTCCTGGGGTTTGGGATTCATGGAACACTTTGTAGGAAAAGATGTGCTTGCTGGGTGCCCATCCAGGCCCCCGGCAGACGCCAGGAGGTCCAGCACCTAGCAGGCACTGGGTGCAGGTGTGGGGGTGAATGGGTGAATAGGCCTCTTGAAAACACATAGAAATGTCTTTGTTACTCTTCTGCAACCCTTAGGAGCTGGCTGCTGTGCCCAGATAAAGCCGTGTGCTGGTTGTGATGCGTGAGGCCCTTGGACATCTGCTCATTGCCCCGCATGGGAGGCAGAGCGTGCAGGGCAACCCTGGCTCAAGATTCTGGAATCACATGGATGTGGGTTCAAATCCTGGTATTCCAGCTGTCTGGCCTTTTAATATTTTAGTTTCTTTTATTTGAAAGTCAGAAAGCGAAAGACAGAGATGGAGAACTTCTATCTGCTGGCTCTCTTGCCAAATGTTTGCAACATCCATAGCTGGGCCAGCCCAAAGCCAGGAGCTGGGAACTCCAGCCTGGTCACCCACCCAACTATTTGAGCCATCACTGCTGCCTCCCAGGTGTGCAGTTAGCAGGAAGCTGCAGCTGGGAGCAGAGCCAGAACTTAGACACAGGCACAGAATATGGAATGAGCATGTCCCAAGCACAGTGTCCTACTTGCTAGGCCAAATGCTCACCCCGTTTTACCTTTCTGGGCCTCGGCTTATTCACCAGTGAGTGAGGCTGCTAGCATCTGCCTCTCAGGAACACTGTAGCTCAGGAAGCACCAGGCTGGGCACAGCCGAGTGTTACTGTTTCCCCACGTGAAGTTTGAACTTCAGCCCTGACCGTGAATGCTCTCTGACGTGGTGCGTTATCCTACGATTGCAATTCACACAGCCATTCAGCACCTGTTATGCACCATGCCCCGTTCTAGACACTAGAAAATGAGTGGGGAATAAAAACCCTGGCCCTTCTGGGCACTTTCTGGGGTATCTGAGAATTAGATGAGAGGTCGTCAGTAAGGGTTTGGGCAGGGGGCATTAAGCCCTCAGGCTCTGCTCTCCCAGGTAGGGCTCCAGGGCTGGGATCCGTGGGAGAGAAGGCCTTGAAGTTTGTCTAGGGTGATGCGGGCAGCCCAGGGGGCAGGAAAGCTTGTACCTGGCTTGGCCTCACCTGCTTCCTGTCTTCGCTGTGGCAGCCCCTTCTCCGCTCGAACAGCTCGGCCACCACCCGCCCCCGGCCGCCCACCTGTTGGATGGCCATGGCCTCAGGTCAGGCTGCCTGGATGGAAGGAGGTGCCCCCAGTGGACAAGCAGCTGGGCACTCACCCCTCCCCCACCTCTGGTCACCAGGCATCCGTCAAGCCTTGAGTTCTGATGTCACAGAAGGTGTGGGGGCAGGGGACACAGGCTGAGGCTTAGCTCCTTCCCTCACATTTTTTTCCCCACCTAGAAATATAGAAAACAAAGTGCAGTAAGAGCTTTTTTTTAAATAGTTATTTGAAAGGCAGAGTTACAGAGAGAGAATGAGAGGCAGAGAGAGAGAGAGAGAGAGAGAGAGAGAGAGAGATCTTCCATCCACTGGTTCACTCCCCAAGTGGTCACAATGGCTGGGGCTGGGCCAGGTCGAAGCCAGGAGCCCAAGCCAGTAGCTTCATCCAGGTCTCCCACCTGGGTGCAGAGGGCCAATACTTGGGCCATCTTCTGCTGCTTTTCCAGGCACATTAGTAGGGAGCTGGATCAGAAGCGGAGCAGCTGGGTCTGGAATTGGCGCCCCTATGGGATGTCAGCATTGCAGGCGGCAGCTTAACCTGCTATGCCACAGTGCTGGCCCCATTAATAAGAGCTATTTTTAAAAAATTCAAAGCTTCATTAGAATTTTATTATTTATCTGAGAAGCAGAGAGACAGAGGGGAGGGAGAGAGCAAGAGCGAGTGCTAGCTACCATTAGCTGTTTCATTCCCCCAGAGACCCACAACGAAAGCCAGGAGTCTGGAACTCAGTCCAGGTCCCCATGTGGGTGGCAGGAACCAAATTGCTTGAGCCATTGTAGCTGCCTTCCTGGGTCTGCGTTAGCAGATACCTGGAGTTAGGAGCCAGAGCTGGATACTGAACCCAGGAACTTTGATATGAGACATGGACGTCTTAACCAGTACGTTAACCTTGTCTCAAGAGCTATTTTTAATTAAAATATATATGAAGATAATAAGCAGCTGTGGCTCATTCCTTTCTACTTGCTGGATGAGTGCTTCATGATACGTATGAACCACATCTGGTTAACCTTTCACCCACTGAAGGTCATGTTCAAACATGCGGACTCTTTGCAAGTTTTAGCTCTTACAAGTGAAGCGGATAGGGACGTTCTGGTATGGGGTTTTCACTTCTGAGATACATAGCTAAGTGCAGTAGCCGAGTCGTATCGTTGTGGGTGTGAGAGCCTGACAAGCTGTGTTCGGGAATGGCTGCACTGTGCTGAGTGGCTCAGTCTCTCCTCCTGCTCACCGGTGTCTGGTGTTTGACTCTCTTGATTTCGGCCGTCCTGCTAGGCGTGCCGTGACACCTCGCTGTGCTTTGATGAGAGTTTTGCTGGTGCCTAGCATCTTTTGTCACCTGTGCATCCTCTGTGATACAATCTCTCTTCATGTCTTTTGCCCATTTTCTAACTGTGTTGATTTTTCTACGTGGAAGTTTTGAGAGTTCTTTGGTATTCTAGATCCCAGTCCTTCCTTGGACACAGGGTTTGTAAACATTTTCTCCCAGTCTGTAGCTTGTCTTTTCATTCTCTTCCATGGACCTTGGCAGAGAAAAAGTTTTAAATTTTGATGAGCTCTGATTTGTCATTTTTTTTCTTGTGTGAATTGGGCTTTTAATGTCAAATCTAAAAACTCTTGACCTAGCCCTAGATCCCAAAGATTTTCTGTTTTTTAAAATTTTCTACTTTATATCCCAATCTGTGATCCGCTAGGAATTAATTTTTATGTGAGGGGCAAAGTTTAGATCCAGGCTGATTTTTGGCCTTTAAATGTCCAATTGCCCTTGTATCATTTGTTGAGAAGATTATCCAAGGGTTAGTTCTGTGGCACAGCTGGTAAAGCCACTGCCGCCAACTCTGTCGTCCCATGTGAGAGCTGGTTGAGTTGTGGCTGCTCCACTTCTGATCCAGCTCTCTGCTAAAGTGCCTGAGAAAGCAGCAGAGGATGGCCCAAGTGTCTGGGCCCCTGCACCCATGTGGGAGACCCAGCTGGAGTTCCAGGCTTCTGGCTTCAGCCTGACCTAGTCCCGGCGGTTGTGGCCATTTGGGGAGTGAATCAGCAGATGCAAGGTATCTGTCTGTAACTCTGTCTTTAAAGTAAGTAGATCTTTAAAAAATAATAGAGATTATTCTTCCCTCTTTGTTATGCTTTTGCATCTTCATCAAAAATGAGTTGAATAGGCCAGCGCCGCGGCTCACTAGGCTAATCCTCCGCCTTGTGGTGCCGGCACACCGGGTTCTAGTCCCGGTCGGGGCGCCGGATTCTGTCCCGGTTGCCCCTCTTCCAGGCCAGCTCTCTGCTGTGGCCAGGGAGTGCAGTGGAGGATGGCCCAAGTCCTTGGGCCCTGCACCCCATGGGAGACCAGGAGAAGCACCTGGCTCTTGGCTTCAGATCAGCGCGGTGTGCCGGCCGCAGCGCGCTGGCCACGGCGGCCATTGGAGGGTGAACCAATGGCAAAGGAAGACCTTTCTCTCTGTCTCTCTCTCACTGTCCACTCTGCCTGTCCAAAAAAAAAAAAAAAGAGTTGAATAGATCCATGGGGGACTGTTTTTGGGTTCCCTGTTACGTTTCATTTATCTGTGCATCTCTCCTGGAACCAATGACCACACTGCCTTGATGGCTGTAGCTACACAATGAGCTTTGATGTTGAGAACAGTGATTTTTCCCATTTTGTTCTTTGTCAAGATTGCTTCAGCTCTTCTGGGGCCTGTACCTTTCCATATATACTTCTTTTATTTTTATTTTTATTTTTATTTTTTTATTTAGTAAATATAAATTTCCAAAGTACAGTTTATGGATTACAATGGTTCCCCCCCATAATTTCCCTCCCACTCGCACCCCTCCCATCTCCCGCTCCCTCTCCCATTCCATTAACATCAAGATTCATTTTCAATTCTCTTTATATACAGAAGATCGATTTAGTATATATTAAGTAAAGATTTCATCAGTTTGCACCCACTCAGAAACACAAAGTGTAAAATACTGTTTCAGTACTAGTGATAGCATTACTTCACATTGGACAACACATTAAGGACAGAGATCCCACATGAGAAGTCAGTACACAGTGACTCCTGTTGTTGACTTAACAATTTGACACTCTTGTTTATGGCGTCAGTAATCTCCCTAGACTCTAGTCATGAGTTTCCAAGGCTATGGAACCCTTTTGAATTTGCCAACTTCAATCTTATTCAGACAGGGTCATAGTCAAAGTGGAAGTTCTCTCCTCCCTTCAGAGAAAGGTACCTCCTTCTTTGATGGCCCCGTTCTTTCCACTGGGATCTCACTCGCGGAGATCTTTCATTTAGGTCTTCTTTTTTTTTTTTTTTTTTCCAGAGTGTCTTGGCTTTCCATGCCTAAAATACTCTCATGGGCTCTTCAGCCAGATCCGAGTGCCTTAAGGACTGATTCTGAGGCCAGAGTGCTATTTAGGATATCTGCCATTCTATGAGTCTGCTGTGTATCCGCTTCCTATGATGGATCGTTCTCTCCCTTTTTGATTCTATCAGTTTGTATTAGCAGACACTGGTCTTGTTTGTGTGATCCCTTTGACTCTTAGACCTATCAGTGTGATCAACTGTGAACTGAAATGGATCATTTGGACTAGTGAGATGGCATTGGTACATGCCACCTTGATGGGATTGTATTGGAATCCCTTGGCACGTTTCTAACTCCACCATTTGGGGCAAGTCCGATTGAGCATGTCCCAAATTGTACATCTCCTCTCTCTCTTATTCCCATTCTTATATTTAACAGGGATCACTTTTCAGTGAAATGAAGAACTCAATAGATCAAATGACAAACACATTAGAGAGCCTTAAAACCAGAGTCAGTGAAATAGAAGAGAGAATATCGGACTTAGAAGACAGAGCACAGGAAAGTATACAGTCAAACCATATAAACTTTTTAAAAAAATATTTATTTATTTGAAAAGCAGAGTGACAGAGAGAGAGAGAGAGAGAGAGAGAGGAGAGACAGACACAGAGAGACACAGAGATCTTCCAACTGCTGGTTCACTCCCCAGATGGCCACAACAGCCAGGAATGGGCCAGGCTGAAGTCAGGAGCCATCACCGTTGCATACATCTGCCAGTGTCTGCAGAACTCCACCTGGCTCTCTCGCATGGGGGGCAGGGGCCCAAGTACTTAAGCCATCACCACTGCCTCCCAGGGTGTGCATTGGCAGGAAGCTGGAACTGAAAGTGGAGGAGGGACTTGAACCCAAGCATCCAGACATGAGATGAGGGCGTCCTCGGGTGGCCATCTGAGCCACTGCGCCAAATGCCCACCCCTCACCATTGCATTGAAAATGCCCATTATGCAACTTGTTACATAGTACATGTTCAGTAAAAGCACTTGTTGAAAGGATGAATAATGAGCAGCCTCAGACGGTGGACTGTGAGAGGCCATGAACTGGGTCTGGTGATTACATTCTTATATTCTCAGGACTTGGCCCAGTAAATATTTGCTGAATGAGTAAAGCAGGTGGTATGATTTTTATTTCACCAGTGAAGAAGCTGAAACCCAAGAAGGCCAAGGAGGGCTATCAGCAGCAGTGGTGGCCATGGCCTGAGTCCTGCCTCGTGCCAGACCTGTCTGAGTGCTGCCCACGCATCGCCTCGCTTGCTCTCCACCCCGGCCCAGCAAGGCCGGGGCTGTGAGACTCTGCTGGGGACATTCCTCTTTTTATCCGGTGTCACACACACTGCCTAAGGCAGGCCCAGCTCCAGAGCCTCCCTGTTTACTGTCAGGAGTTAGTGTCATTTCAGCCCAAAGCCGAGACAGTTGCCAGTCCCCTCCTTGGTGGCCTTGCTATGGGTAGGGAGACGTGGGATTGCCACGAAGCAGCCACGTTGCCTCCGTGCCTCCCAGCCCCACGCCTGCCTCAGCTCCTTCCGTCTCCCTTTCCTGCTTATCCTGGTGATGATGATGCCTTGCAACTAAGATATTTCAAGAGCTGTCTAGGGACTGGGCACTGTACTTGCCTCATGTATATTGGCTTGCTGTATAATTACTAGACCAGGTGGCAAATAACACTGTGATCCCCATTTAAAAAAAGATTCAGAGTTGCAGAGAGAGAGGGAGAGTCTAAATCTTCCA